AAAGGCATACTTATGACAAGTTATAAGGATACATGAGTAAAGGGTTTAATAACAATGCAAGCTTGGTAAAGACTCAGGACTGATTGATTGATGAACATATTAGCATTATCCTAGAGATGCTAAGTCCAGGACAATTTCAGAATTAGCCAAGCAGCATACACGAAACAAGTTAAAAGACATTAAGTTAACCTTTAAGAGGATTCACATTATTCAAACAAATAGCCAATCTTAGAACTAACAGTATCAATTGTAGGACTAAAGGAAATCATATGAACATAAATGTGGTAGAATCACGCGCAGAATGGATTTTAACATGCTGGATCATAAACACAGTTCATGAATACATGGAATGAAATGACAAAGAGGATAGTCACTCACTTGTTAGGCAAGAAAACAAGAATAACACCACAATAGTCGAAAGTCCAGAATTACTTGGCCTTGGCTTTCAGCCGGCCGAGACAAGAATCAAACGAGAGAGAGCAAAGAGAATACAGAGCCAAAACCTAAGTTTTCAGTGAGAGTATATTGATTTTTTCTTTTGTCCTAAATGGAAAAGTGAAGGGGTTTATATAGTAGTATAGCATAAACATGAAGTACGGTAAATATTAAACACATAATCAATTAGGATCTAATTTTTTTAGGGCAAATAATATATAAACAAAGAGTTCAGTATATTAACAGAGAATAATGGCATGTAATCATGCAAGTAACACTTAAAATGAGGGGATACAGCAGAGAATAAGAAAAATATCACATAATAATCGATTAACAATCAGATTTAGGAAAAAATAAGGCAAAAATAAAGAAAACACGGTAGATTAAACGGAAATAAGGAAAATATTAGTCAAATACGAGAAAGGAAAGAGTATCAATCAGAAATCAGTGAAGAACAAGGAAAGGTCTCAAACCCTAGTTGAGACTGATGCTTTGAATCGGACCAGAGATGCAAGAATCGTGCAATAAAACATGTATATGGACAAAAATCGTCCAGATCATCACAGAACACGGTGAATCTACCCGTTATTGAGATAGTTCTTGCCAAAAATAAGAATCTAAGTAATACTATAGACGAGCATATAATGATAGAGTAACACAAAATAGGTAAGTAAATCATGAATTGATTCCATGTTTGAGCCGGAATATGAGAGATTTGGGGGTGACAACGCTAGGGTTTGACAGAAGGAGATGAATGTTCGAGAGAATACAGAGACGGAGGGCCTGAGGTAATGAGGGTTAGGGTTTGGGATAGGTAGTTTAACTAAAAGGGGAGGTGAATGGGGGTCGTTGATCTTGAGAGATCAACGGCCAGGATTAAAAGAAAGGTTTAGGTCGGGTTAAAAGATGGGTTACCAGTTGGTATTGGGTTAGGGGTTATTTGGTTTGGGTTGGGCGAATTGAGCTAGTGTATTTAGGTAATTGGGTTGGTTTGGGTACTTAGGTCCGAAAATTCAATAAAATTGGGGCCAGATTTTAAATACCCAATTTATTAAACAAATAATTTATAAAAAATAATAAATGAATAAAAAAATATTATTTATGCATAAAAATGGTTAATAACAATTATTCAACACTTTAAAAATATAAAAAGTAATTTTTTGCATAAATAAAGTAATTATAACTATATATGGGCTATTATTGCAAAATGTGCAATTTTAGCCTTTAATATGCAAATGTATTTATGATAAATATGTTAAAAATATTTAAAACCTAATATGGGTGTAAATAATGAAATTAGATGATTAAAATTATTATAAAAATAATTTATGGTACAATTAATGATTATTTATACAATAAAAAATGGGAATAAATTGATTAAAAAATCTTTAAAAATTATGAAAAATTTAGGAAAAGTACTTGATGATGCTCATGCACTATTTTGAAAGTATATATGCATATTTGAAATATTTAAGGAAAAAATTGGGCATCAATAGTGGGTCTAGTGTGGCGGTGAGTGTAGGCAACCTGATGAGGCTTGTGTCCCCTGTTTAGGTGACCGTGCACTTTATTAATTGCAACTATGTCCCCTCTTTAGTCCTTATATAAACACACAATCAGGGTTATGTTGTGTGTGGTAGTTGTCTCATTGACACTACCATATTAGAGGAAGGGTAATAGAGAGAAAGATCTAGTCTTTTATCAATCCATGATATAGTTCAAACTTTTAATCAGACCTGGCTGAACTTTCCACGACAGTTATGCGTGCATTCTTACTAATTTAAGTTATATTGTGTCCTAATATTAGAGCTGTCAATATGGGCGGGGTCGGGCTAGCCCGACCCAGCCTACGTGGGCTTTAGCAATTGACGAGCTGGGCTAGGCTTGCCCACCATTTTGACGAGCCTTATAATGATCACCCCACCCTAGCCCTATGTAGGCTGCAGGCACCCACGGGCCGGCCCATCATTTTTTAAAATATAATTTTGTATTTTTTATAAGTTCTAACCTAAAAAAAAGATAAAATATTTAGAAGTTAAAATAATTTTATTGCAAATTTTTTACAAAACTTAATAAATTTTTACACCGTTCCAATATATCACAATAAATACTAAAAAGTAAAAGATAAGATTACATTTCATTCACTAAAAGTCTAAACTCAAAACAAACTATTCAAGAGAACGTCCATGACGCTTATGGGATATCGAACACATCATCTTCATCAAATACATTTGAATCCACTTGTGAGAACTGAGAAGGTTGTCTTAACATCTTCACTTTCATCTACATCTACAATTCGTATGCAATATTTAATTAGTTAAATATTAAGCATAATTATATTTAAACTAATTAACGTTTTAAGACTTTGATCTTTTAATATGATGAGCTTAATAAACTTTAAGCTTGGGATACTCTTCTTGTTACTTTTTGTGTCATATACTTTTTATACTTTATATATATTAAATACATATTTTTATTAGGCCTACGGGCCGGCCCAGCCCAGCCTCAATCAAGCCTCGCGAGCCACGAGCTTAATCGGGCCGGGCTTAAAAGCCTCGTTTTTAAATGCGCTCCAAAAATTTTAGTCCAGCCCTGCTAAATCACGGGTTGGGCTAGGCTAGCCAAGCCCATATTGACGGCTCTACCTAATATCATGTTTGATCTTGGGTTTTATTGTCTTAATATTCTTACGCGATGATCATTGCTCAGACAATATTGTTCTATCCCAACCCTGATTGAGTTTGGGGTTGCTTGTTGGTCCTTAATCAGGCTCACATTTTTGCCCTCAGCAGATGTACAAGTGAAATGTGTGAAACAGTTGGAGAATTTCACAACAGTATCGTGGTTTTTTTCTTTTTAAACGTAAGGAAAAGGAATTTAAATATATGGTTTCCAATCAGTTGGCATTGTCTATCCGTAGTTCGGTCTTGAAGGTTTTCAATTTTGTGCCAATCCGCGTACTTGAAAATAGCCTTAAAATTAGAAGTTAAAAGGACATAAAATTGCAAATACCTACAACTCACTTTTCTCCATAAGAGTAACTCGAACTAAAATCAAACGTATCCACTTCATATTTTTGCACTTAGTGGACCTCGCAAATGCGAGGAAGGGACCGCAGAAGCGGCTCCATAGGTGCGACATTTTGGTTCTGCAGTTGTATAATCGCATGGCAGACTTTATAATTTGAAGGATTTTGGTTATTTCTTATTATTTGGAGATGTGGAGCTCGGCCAGAGGTAATTTCTGGAGAGGATTCACTACAATTGAGGGAGTAAGTAATCCTTATTTGATTCAGGTGTTAGATATTGATTACCTATGGATTATTGCACCTGAATTATGTGAAATTTGGAGATTTTTTACTATGATTTAGGAGAGTGAAAATTGATGATTTGAGGGTCGATTTGAGGTTGGATTCAGGTGAAACACATATATTTTTTGAGAGTAATATTTGCATTAGTTGGAATTATCTTTTAAAAGAAACCTTATTCCTTAATTCATTTTGTCAAAGAATGTTGTGACTAATCGTACAAGGTACTCTTCATCCGCAACAATTTTCTTTTACAAACAATTGACTTATGGTCAATTAACTCCCACGAGTTATATTAAACCAATATAAGTTGGAGGCAAAGTGTAATAAATATTGTACTCCTTTTTTACCCCCTTTCTACCTTTCTCCAAATTTATAATTTCATTGACATTAGAATTAAACTCACTTATTGAGTGAGAGACTCTTATCAATTGCGTGGATTGAAAGTCTTGATGGTCAATATTGTCTGAATTTAGCTTTTATATCCAATCGACCCTCCTGAGCCGAGGGTCGATTGGAAACAGCCTCTCTGTCCTTTCGGGTAGGGGTAAGGCCTGTGTACGTATTACCCTCCCCAAACCCCACCTTGTGGGACTATACTGGGTAGTTGTTGTTGTTGTTGTATCCTATTAGTGCAAAAGAGTTCTTATACTATTACCTTAATTACCTAAAATAATTATAATTTATTGAAAAAATAAGTGGAACTAAAAGCCCGTTTGGACACAAGAAATTTTTTTCCAGAAAAATTTTACTTTTTTCGGAATCAGCGTTTCTCATAAAATTTCCAATTTTCAGTTGAAGATGCTTTTGAATTTTTTTGAAAATTTGAAAAACATCAAAAACAACCCAAAATTATATTCATGTCGAAACACAACTCTAATTTTCAAATACCATTTTTCACTTAAAAATATTTTTCACTATTTTTTTTTTTTTTGAAATTTTACAATTCTTATGTCCAAACGCCCACTAACTATACTAAAAAGTAAAGCAGGCCAAGAGCTCGCGAGAACTGATAGAATTACATAAGCAATATAAAGTTAACTAGTGCGGCATTAATGTATATAAATTAAATCCGTATTCTCCTCCTCAATTCAACATTTGTACGTGTTAGTTCAAATAAGCTGCATGAAAATGTCAATGGAAATAAACACGAAGTATCAAGGATATAAGAGTCATTACACAAAGCTAAAGACTGAGATAGATGGTTGGACAAGGAAGCTCAAAAGCGGTTTCTATACAAACCAAAAGCCAAAGACTCAGATAGCTAGTATTATTATTATTATTATTCTTTCTTATTTTCCTCATAGTCTTCAGTGATTTCGCCGAGTGGAACCGTTTTAGAAAGAGAAAGTGTTGAAAAACTCTGTGAATATTATCCGCTTTATCATCTTCGTCTTCTTCTTCTTTCTTTCTTTCTCTCTAGCTTTTGTCTTTTGCTTCTTTAGCATTCAATTCTTCATTTTCTTATCTTCTCATCAAAAACCTTAGCCTTTTTCTTAAATAACACCACCGACTGGACTATCCTTTCCTCTCTTTGGTTTTATCTGAATATGGTGGTCTGGAACAACTCTATAAGTAGCTATGTAGTACAAGCAAATAATAAAAGAATAGTTATCATCTTCTGCTTTATAAATTTGAGAAATGGGATTTGAGAGAGCTTTTGTTGAGAGTTCACCTGAGCAAGAAAATAAGCTTTTTGTTGGTGTTGGTGTTTCTTATATGGATTCTTCTAACAAAAACCACGACCTGTTAGAGAGTAATAATCAAATTTCTTTTGGAGGTCAGCATCAACATCATCAACAACAGTTTTTTTATAATCATCATCAACAACAGCAACAGCAGCTGCAAAATAATGCTAATCAGATATCTTTTGGAATGATGCAACAGTCATCTTCTTCATCTTCCGCTATTCCTGGAAGTCTCATGTAATTAAATTCATTTTTCTTGTTTGACATATCAAATTTAGAGATAATTCACAAAGTTAAATCCCATGTTATAATTTTTTTTATTGACTTTTTATTTTTCTTGCTTTTGTGTATGAGCAGAAGCAAAGACAGTGCTGGAGCTTATGATTTAGGTGAACTAGATCAAGCACTTTTTCAATATCTTGATGGCCAAGACCCTTCATCAATCCAAGAACAAAGACGTGAGCTTTTGATTTTTTATTTTCTTCTTCTTTTTTTTGTCCTTTATTTTTCATGTCTTCTGAGTTCTGATCAATAAAGGAACATAGCTTTTTGTTTATATTTAATTTTAGGTCTTTTCCGTTGAGATTCTCTCCATGGGGAATATTTATTTTCCAGTCATGAGAAAAGCATGTTTTCAGATAAATTAAAATCTCTCATAGTACTCCTTTGACCAGATCCTCTCAGAACAAAAACAATTTCCCTTTCTTTTTCATTTTCTGATTTCAAGTAAAGAAAAGTAGCTTTAAGCCTTTTTCGGTTTCAGCTCATCTTTTTGTTTTCTCACATATACCAAATCTGCTTCTACTGTAAAATGTACGAAATGAAATATTTTCTTCTTTTTTTTCATCTCTCTTCTGAGCTTTTTTCAGAGACTAAAGTGCGTGACCTGTCAGAAATACATATACTATCTTTCTTGAGAAGAAAGGATCTTTGAAATCTTAATTTAATTAAAAAGAATTTTGTCTGAACATATTGCAGAAAATCCAGGTATGAGACCACCAACTCTGAACATATTTCCATCTCAACCCATGCATGTCGAGCCATCAACAACAAATAAGGTAAATTAGATTATATAAATATGGATAAAATATAGGGTATCTATATTCAAGAAACCGTTAAGCATTTTTTATTTTTCTTGCTATTAACAACTTTAGTTTTTTTATTAATACCTACTGAATTATTTTCCTTGTTATTTCCTGCGTTTGGTAGATGAATACTGGATTAGTTTCTCCAGCAATAAGTGGCTCCAAGAGATCATCTCAGCCGTCCATGGAGTTGTCCAATAATCTCAAAAATAATGATGCTCCTTCTGCTTCTGGTCCTGAACCACCCAAAGCTGCCAAGGTATTTCAATGCAAATTTTCATTTTTGTATATATTTGTTCTTTATAGATACTATAGTATTTCTTTTTTATTTTAATTTCTTCTTAATGATCTAATATTTTCCTTCTATGTGGTGACAGCGAGAGGGAAACAGGAAGGGTCCGACTTCAAGTTCAGAGCAAGATGGACCAAAAACACCAGATCCGAAGGTGAGACTTCTGGTTTTATCAATTGATGAAATTTTATCTGTTTATCTTCCCTTTTATTCTAATTAACATAGTATTAATTTTGTGGAATTTTAATTTAACTTTCCTTGCAGACATTAAGGAGACTTGCTCAGAATAGAGAGGCAGCAAGGAAAAGTAGGCTTAGGAAAAAGGTACTTATTATTCACTTATTTTTATTGAATTATTGTTGTTGTTTCTGTTAAAACATTATCTTTGGTCATTATTCTGTGGAAAAACTTTGTTTTGATTTACTTGCTATTTCGTTACAGGCTTATGTTCAACAGCTAGAGTCAAGTAGAATCCGGCTTACTCAATTAGAGCAAGAACTACAAAGGGCTAGAGGACAAGTAATATATTTCTTTTCTAAATAACTCATCTTCTTTTAGAGATTTACCTACGTACTTTAGTTTTTTTTTAATCTTTCAAGAAAATAAAAATTCTCGAATATTTGTATTTTTTAGGGATACTATTTTGGAGGAAACGCTCTTTTAGGAGGAGAACAAAACCTTCCTGTTAATATGGCCAACATGAGCTCAGGTACATCTGCATTTCTTGTCTTTTCTTCTTCTTCATAATTTTTCCTTTTATTTATTTGGATTTAACGTTAATATAGCGACAGTGCAAAGAATTTTAACACTAGCATTATATTTAACATATATAGCAAACAGTTACCTCATTTTTCAGGATACTAATCCCGATTATTAAGAACAATTATCTATAGTTATCTTTTTAAATAACCTGTGTAAAAATTCTTATACACTAGTTGTGTATAGAAGTTAAACTTGTTTTTTTGGGGGGTGTTTGAAGTATTTATGTGGAGTTGATTTTGCTTGAATGTAGATGCTGCAGTTTTCGACATGGAGTATGCGCGATGGCTAGAGGAACACCATCGACTAATGGGCGAGCTTCGAAACGCAGTGCAAGAACATTTTCCAGAAAACGAGCTTCGAATCTATGTCGACAATTGTGTAACACATTACGACGAGATAATGAACATCAAGATCATGCTTACAAAATCTGATGTCTTTCATCTTGTTTCTGGTATGTGGAAGACTCCAGCTGAACGTTGCTTCATGTGGATGGGAGGGTTTCGGCCATCTGAGCTCCTCAAAGTACGTATACGTAACAAAAACCTAACAGAAAATTACATCACAATCAAGAATGATTAAAGATACATGCATGCAAACCCTAGTTTGCATATGATAAAATATTCTTTTTTTATAATCACAATATTCGAACTAACTTGCGTACCCTTTGACTATTTTATAAACTCACAAAACAAAAGAATTTATGCGGTCACCTAAAATATAACTGCAAGTAATATTTGTAAAAAGTGGGATTAACAATCTATTGACTATTTTATAAACTCACAAAACAAAAGAATTTATGCAGTCACCTAAAATATAACTGCAAGTAATATTTGTAAAAAGTAGGATTAACAATCTAAAAAATACGGACAAGTACTTGAATAACATGTCAAAGTATATTAATAATTCAAGTATTAGCGTATCGGAGTATGAGTTAAATACTAGGATACATGTACTTTTTAACTCTATTTTTTTTTTTTTTTCATGAGTAGTAAAAATTGTGTTTATATTTCCAACTGGGTTGACAAAGGTTGGAGAGACATCATGAGATGCCTCACGAGGGAGACAAGAAGTTAATTCCATGGGTGGAACTTGTGAGAACATCTCATGATGTTCTGTAATTTCTGTTATGTACGTAATACTATCAATGAATGACGAAGTAAGACATCCCCAAGCTTTCCCTTTTAGAATAACGTTAGGTATTATTCCATACTCAACCATAAAGCCATGTCTGTTACCACCTTTTTTCCCCTGTATCTAGTTAAATATTATGTGTATGCGTGTTTATACACATAATGTTCACTTCTTGTTATTCTAGCTCTTATGTAGGTGATCTATAGTGTAATTTTTTTTTATATCGTGGGTATAACTAAAATCCTTATTTTTTTTAAAAATACACACAAGAAAAACCTATATGTGATAATTTCTCGATATCTTATACTATACGTGTAATAGTGGGGTCGAGGAGTGATGAATCTTGCACGGTTATCTGATACCCTATCTCTATCTTTGTCTCTATATTTCATTGACACAAAGAAACAGTCATGCTTTATTTTAGATCTATCAACCTTTAGTTCGGGGTAAGTAAGAAGAAACAAAAGACCTTTTGGTAATTATATTGTGAACCACAACAACCTCCACGTCTGTTTTTTTTTTTTATCAAGATTCGTACTTTCTGATTATTGTTAATAGTATTTCGGAAGTTTATATTTGGAAAAGCTAATGACATTTTTTGTTGTTGGAATGATTAGATTATCCTGAGTCAGATTGAGCCATTAACAGAACAACAACTTATGGGGATTTGTGGGTTACAACAATCAACACAAGAAGCAGAGGATGCACTCTCTCAAGGACTTGAAGCTCTTAATCACTCTCTCTCAGACACCATTGCCTCTGATGCATTGTCTTGCCCTCAAAACATGGCCAACTATATGGGCCAAATGGCTCTTGCTATGAACAAACTCTCTACTCTTGAAGGTTTCGTTCGACAGGTACGTGACATTATAAATAATTTTACATTATCAATGCATAAAACTTAATTTTAAAATTTTGAAGTAATCTTAAGGATAAAAAAAATACTACTATCTTTTTCCACAATAGGATAGGATTGTATATAAAAGAGATCGATGAGAGTAATGCAAGTGATGTTGATGGATAGGTAGGGCCAAAGAGAAGAAGAATCTGCTCCTACTTAAGTTGGAAAACCTACTCCATCTGATGACCTACTACTCTCTCCAGCTGATTTTCTATATCTAATTAAACAAATAAGTACATGCCCTAAAATTAGTGGCCATGCATAAACTATAGGAAAACCCTCGACTACAAAAAGATGGCATTGGTTTTGGTCACAAAGATTTTATAAATATTGCAGTTGATTTCGAGGAAAAAATATGTGGGACCCCTAGTGAGGATATATTATATCTGTCCTATATGTGTCCTCACGCATATATATAGGAAAAGAACAAGAAGTAACAAATTTAGATCCCGTCTGGACATAAAAAAAACAATTCACTTTTTTCCGAAATTGGCCATAAAATTTTCAATTTTCAATTTTCACTTGAAGATGAATTTTAGAATTTTTCAAAAATTTGAAAAATCCTAAAAAGTTGTTTTTCAAAATTTTCACTCATATTACTCACCAAACTTCAAAAACAACCCAAAATTATATTCATGTCCAAACACAACTCTAATTTTCAAATACCATTTTCACTTGAAATTTTTTTCCACTTTTTTTGGAATTTTACATTTCTTATGTCCAAACGTCCAATTAATATCATTATGGAATTTTCTAATGTTCGAACTTTTCTCATCCTTAAAATTGCTCAAGTTAATTACCTTAATATTTGCATAATGCATTTTAAACACATTAGCGCAATCTTTTGTCCCTCTCCTCTCCCCCGAACCTCCTTTCTACCCTCCCAAAAAAGGGAAAAAGAAATAATATAAAGAGCACACCATCTTCTTTCCAATCCCAATCCAAATAATGGGAAAGGCAATTCACAGACACATTAGTTTTCTTATGGAGGAAAATGGCTTAATGCTGTGAGAACTAGGAGCATATAAGGCCCCTTTAGCATAGAGTATCTTTATTTATCAATTTTTCAAGAAATTTCTCAACCAAAGTCACAAGGAAGAACAAAGTTATAGAAAGGATAAACCAAATAGAGGAGAGACTCAAAAATATCCCTATCATAAATAAGTTAGGCCCATATTAGTATGATGTCATAATCATAAACCTTTTGACTTAAACTACATTAAATAGACCATACATTTATATCCACCATGACCCCTAGTTTCTTAAAAGAATGGGAGAGAAAAGGAAATCCATTATCAACTTCACATAATTACATGAAAGTCATGGAACTTGACTCTCTTAAGTCATTCTTTTACTCAACATAGAAACTTAGGGACTTTACTCTTGAAACTTATAAATCTTGTATTTGTAATAAATGTGAAAGATCATTTCTTGGTTCCTTTTCTGTTGTGTTTTCTTTTCTCATCATGGTTGCTAAATATTGACAAAATGTTATGCTTGTTAATTTGTAGAAAGAATGCTGCCATTATTGATAACTTTTGGAACTTGCATAGCTGATATCTCATGCTGCCATTAATTGATTTAAGAGCATACTTTTATTCTCAAAATTAGCTTGGGGGTGGAAGTGTCGGAGGAAAAATAAAGCATCATAAATTACACTAGTAATGTAGTTGTTGGGTTTTAGGATAAATTAAATAGAAAATGCCATATTTTCCCCTCATTGTAAATTTGAGAATACATTGTTGTTTTCTAAACGGCTGTTTGTCTTTCCAGAAGGTTGTTTCCAACAATCTAATTCTTTCAACACTACACAAAACAATATCTTATTCTAAATATTTAGATTGTATTTCAAATACAACGCAAAACCATTAGTTCTCATTCATTTATAGATGCCACCTAGAAGGTAGTATAAGCTGATTTTCTCGTTGAAACTACTACTCGTTCCGTTCAAGTTTACGTGAATCTATTTCCTTTTTGGTCCGTTCCAAAAAGAATGACCCCTTTCTTAATTTGAAAATAATTTAACTTAAATTTCCTATTCTACCGTTAATGAGAAGCTTTTATAACCACACAAATACTTTGGACCCCTTTTTGACTTGTTTAGGACCACAAATTCCAAAAGTTTCATTTTTTCTTAAACTACGTGCCCAGTCAAACAGGTTCACATAAATTGAAACGAAGGGAGTATTTTTTTTTTTTTTCCTTCTAATGCATCTTTCCACCGTAGATTCTCTTCCTAATGCATTTTGTATGCACTTTATCTGTAAAAAAATTTGCATTAGAGTGGTCAGTATATACAATTGCTCACGCCACCCAGATCCAACCATATATTATTTCCTTTCTTGGTTCCCTCATAGTTGTTCTCTTCCCTTTACTAATGTCCAGAAATTAAATTAAAGGAAAGTAACTGGAAAAGGTG